TCAAACTCAGCCTTGTGCTTGCAAGTCAGGAGCAGTACCACTGAGCTAAATCTCCAGCCCTCATTGGGGATCCTTGAGAAGGTAGCAACAGTCCTTTCCAATTGAAGGTACTATTAAGAAAATATGTAAATAAATACAACTGAGGCATGATGTTTTACATAACAGCAGCAGTGAAGTCCTAATATTTTTACATGCTATCCACAAGTCTGCATACTAATATTTCTGAACCAAAACATCAGTAAAATTAAGATTCTTCGTACAGGCAGAGTATAGAATTGGGTCAGATACTGCAGCCTGGGTTTCTTTGGATCTTCTTTGTGAAAGCAGCACTAAAGGTCAGTACTGTGGGAAATTCAATGTCTTAAAAATACTCAAGGTAGAGGGAAGAATAACACAGAATCCATTATTGACGACTAGGCAATGAGTTCTCAGAGAGCATAGACTGTGCTCTTACAAGAGCAACTGGAAGGGTTGAGCACAAAGCAAGTGCTCTACTGACCAGAAGGAGAAAGACTGTCCAGTCATTCAGCTGAATCCCTGAGAATGAGAGAGCCCCTAAGAGAACACATCCTTCTACCTCCTTCTTCTGGGTGATTCTCTACTGTTGGCTTCTCATCAGCCATGAGGTTCATTTCTCACCTTTCATCTTCCCTCACTTCCCATTTTTTTACCTTCCTCCTTAAGAATCAGTTCAACTCTCAATCCCTGTACTTTCCCTGATGGTGCAAACAACACCCTCCCTAGCCTTCAAATTCACATAGCACAAATGTCCAAACCCTCAGATGGACCTTCTAGCAGTTTCTTCTGATGTCTCTTGCATTACTTAATTTAGCTCCTAAGCCTATATAAAGCCAGAAATCATGTTCCATTTTTTCTCCTCCACAGCATAGGCCATGGTACAATGTGAAAACCAATGGTGAGCAACAACATCTGAGAGGTAATTACGAGAGCTGGTTTTTGCATGAAAAGTGACTGCTTCAAGAGGTCTTTTTTATTCCAATCTCATCACAAGGTGAGTTCCAGCTGAGCTTCAGCCCACAGAACAGGGCTTTACTCCAGCACTACTGTTCTTCTGATACTGTACTTCTATGGGTCTGGTTTCTATTTTAAGACAGAGCCATGACTTCCAGGATTTAAAGACTCAGGAGGATTTAATCTATTATTAGCTTAAAGAGGGCAAGACACTGGTAAGAAAATAAGTGTAAGGCGGTTGCCACCCTATTCATATGACTTTAAACGACTCTAGATGTATCTGGAAATAAATGCAGAGATTGTAGCTCAAAACTTCATATGAAACTATAAAAAGGAGGGCCGAAAAGGGCCTTTGATTCTTAGTTATTCATCTACTGGTGACAGCACTGATACAAATGCCATTCTCCTGGTGGTAAGTTAATTACAGTTTCTACCATGCCACTCTGCCTTGGCCTACCAAACACACACTGTTATACATTACAGTCCTTTCAATCAGCCTAGGATTCTGAAAGGCAGAGAAATCTCAAGAATGATCACACAATATGAATCTGTACATTACAGAGAAAAATCAAAGTATTAAAATCATCACCTTGACTGATGATATAGTGAGGTTGGATGGATGGCTGAAAACATAACTGAGATACAACACTTGAAGGTAAGTTCTGGAATGATGTTAGGCAAGTCCTTTCTGGGCTTCAGTTTCTCCACACTAAAAATGGGTTTCTGCCTACAAGGTTTCTGAATGAGGAAATTATTGGTGCTACTGTAGGGCCAATTTTTTCTTAGGTCTGTCTTCTACATTGTAGGATATCTAACATTTCTCGTCTTAGACCAGTAGTTACCTCAGCCATTGTGACAACCAAAAATGCCTCCATACTTTGTAAGCTCTCCTGGTTGAAAACCATAAGGAAGCTCTCAAGGCCCTTTCTGCCTCTTAAATGCCTTCATAAAGACGATGTTAACCAGCAAGGGCAGTGAAAGCTGGGAGGACTGCAGCAAACCTACCCATAGATGTCCAGGACTCCGATGAAAGAGTGTTGCTTGAGGGAGGTGTGCAGGGCCTTATTGATGTGATCCACAATCCAGCTGAACAGTTGGGCGTAGATATGCTTGGCAAGGGCATTGCGAGCATTGACCACCTGCTGCAGGGACATGGTCTTGACATAGGTCTCTGAGGTGGTGACTAGCTTTCGATGGCACAGCCAGTGCTCCATTTGACTGTGCTCCACACCTAACAGGCAGCAGAAGTTGCTCAGGTGTTGATCCTGGGGCTGGGGGGAAAGTGAAGATAGGTTCAGGAAGGACATAGAAGACAAGCCCCCTGACCCCATTTTCTTTCTGGTCCAGAGGGAAAACGAGCAAACCTCAGACTTCCTAGGAATCTAGAATGTCACATCCCTAGCCAAATGACACGCACAACATGCACGCATGCACACACAACTAGGTGGAGAGCCTGATTAGTGTTGCTCAAACTGATCATCACACTTTCTAATAACTAAAATTATCAGAGATTTAAAAAATAAAACATTACCACGTTCCCATCCCTTCCCCTTCACTGCCAGGCTGCTGCGGAGTTAACAGGTAGGAGGGGATTGCCTATGTGAAGAGATCAGAATGAAAACTGATAGCTTAGAAAGGGATAATACATCCAGGGTAAGAAGCCAGAAGGCAGCAGGCACACACTGACCTTGCACCTTGTATCTGCAGAGGTCCACACAGTGCTTAAGTACAGCCCAGAAAGTGGTTCTCTGCCTCAGGTCTACTAAGCTGGATGCTTGAAATGAATGTCAGCTTCTAAAGCTGGAGGGACTTTCAAGGAATTTGCCCCCCCCCCGACTTCAGCAGAGCAATGTGGATGGACCAGACCAATAACTGCCTGCTGGGTGAGCAGGTTATGGAGAATCATCCTAAAATTTTATACCCTTTCTTCAAATTGTATGACACCAACAAATGTGTTCAGATAATGCTGTGGCAAGAAACAGGCTAAAGCTCAAAGGGCAACCGCCCTCCTGGGGCTGATGTCACACCATCCCATGCCTCCAAGCATGTTCTCTTTCAACTTGGCTCAGTGATACTAACTCAGATGTAACTGAATTTTATTTACATTCTTAATGCACTTGCTATTGGGGGAAAATTAATCAACGTGGAAATCACTTGAAACACTTCGATTGATCTGCATGTATTTGGAGCTGGAAACAAATTAGGAATTCCTCCAGTCTGTCTTTTTTTCCATGGAAGCTTAGCCCTAGAGCAGTGCAACGGTTTATCTGGTCCCCTGCATCCAGGGGTCCTTCTATACAATGCACTGACTAGCTATCCAGCTGCCTCTAGGAACTACATTTGATCCTTGACTTGTGTTTATCCAAAAAACTAATCACCTGGCCTTTGAGTCAATGGATAACCAAACTTCCTGCAGGTCTTATCTTCACAAATCCACAGAAGTCTCTTCAATATCCCCTCTTGGCCATACAGGACATACCACCATCTAAGTTTGCCTTGGAAAGTTGATAACCCATACTTGGAAGGCTTATTAACTCTGAGGCTGAAAGGGAATACTTTTGAATATGATGTGTCACTCCTAATAGCTCTACATTGCTTACAGGATTCATTTTCTGATAAAGTCACCTTGTAGAATTTAAATGAGGGCTTTTTCAATAAAAAATACAGATAGCTATCATTTTGCCCTTAACCTCATATCCTTAGGCCATTTTTCCCCCTATGGGTATCTAAAATCCATCTTTCCAAAACAAACAAATATAAAACAGAATCTCAGAGTCAAAAGAACTTCTCCAAACCATTAAGGCCAGTATTTTTCCAAAGCAGTTTGTGGAACACAGTTGCAAGGAATATTAATTGATTTTATTAACACCAGGTTAAATGCAACTTCACTGGTATGTTTAATCACCTAGTAAGCATCAAGAGACAGATTATTTTAAGGTGCACTTCTAGAGCTTATTGGCCAACAAACTGTTGGGTTCCCAGGAAAACATCTTTAGAATTGCCACTCTGATCCACCCCTTTTCATTCTGATGAGGAAAATGAAGCCCAGTGAGGCTCACCGATGACACCTGAGCAGCGGTGTGGGCTGGCTGGGTGTGGACAAGACTCATCTTTCATAAACACTCAGCAGCAAGGATTGCCCATCACTTCTCTTGGCCAGCAGCCTTTTACTCTGCAACCTCCCCCATTTCTCCCTTTCCAACATAAAGCCATATGGGGTAGAGTTTAGTGCCTGGCAGACAGTAAGTTCAGAGGTGGCAAGTGTCCAGTTTGCTCATCTGATCTTTTTCCAAGAAATTTTTAATTGCTATGCACAGCACTGCAGATGGATTCCCTGACATTTAAATAGCATGCCAGCAGCAAACACGATGACCAATGGCCTGCCTCCCTCCCCAGTGCCTCATATCGTGAGTGTGGTTGAAGAGGGACCACAGTTAGGGATCTCTGCTAACCACCAAGGGACATAACCACTGCAGTGGGGTTTGCTCCATGTTCACCTGCTTCTTACTGTTGATTAAAGGAACTAACAGAAACTGATTTAAGGTAGTGCAATTACATTTAAATATAATTAAATGATGTTAAATCCATTAAAAATAGCCAGCATTATAGGTAGCAGATTAGTTTTATAGGCCTATATTGCCAAATTCAAGGAACAAACTGCCTTTGGTGTCCAAGTAATTGGATGCTGTTATATCTCCAAGGTAACTCTGGCAATTATGGAACACATTCTCATGCCTTAATTAAAAATAAAAACTACCAAGCAGAAGGCACATTGTTTATGGGTAGACAGCCTTTCCAATAGGAGGCCACACCATGGACCTGAAAAACAAGCCAGTATCTATTTGAGAGAGACTATCAATCAGCAGAACCATTTAAAGACGTATTTCTTGAGCTTACACTCATGTGAAGCACCATGTTCAGGACCAGTAGGGCCACCAATATGTGGAGGACATACTAGGATCAAGATGAACAAGGGCTAAAAGTCTGGAAGAAACAACAGTGCCAGGAAACACACCTAGGGGTGCTCAGAGGCCAGGTACAGAGTATCATAAGATCAGAGACAAGGTACTTACAGACCCAAGACTTGCCCTTCCAAACAGGTACCAGCCTTCCTCACACTCAGCTGCAGGTGCCAGGAACTCCCTGGTCTGCTTCTCCTGCCTTACAAACAAGCCCCATTAATATTTCTGACTTTCTTACCCATGCTTACTTTCATTTGCATCGCCCAAGTCCTAGACTACCCCAATCAAGCATCCAGCTGTCTACTTTTTGAGTGCCTATTGAGTCCTGCTCTCTGCTGGTGATAACAACAGTCCCTACTCTCATAGAGTTTGAGGGTCAGGGAGACAGAGGCAAAGCAAATAATCACACAATAAATGCAAAATAACCACTCTAAGCTGCACGGCCTGGGGGAGTCTGGGGAGGGGGAAATGCTGTAAAAATCCGTGACAAGGGGCTGCAGATTAGCTCATGCTTAGCCTGCTTGAAGCCCTGGGTTCGATGCCCTGAACCCCTCCCCATGACAGGGATACAGGACTCTGAGAAGAACACTGAGGAGGAGAGGGGTGCTGAGTGGGATGGAAGCCAAGGGAACATTTGTCATCTTCCTTGCATCTTAACAATATAAATCAGAGTTTGTCAGTGCAAACATTCCTAATTTTTCCTGTCCCTGACACTGGGGAAGAGTATGGCTGCCCCAAGGATCCACTGAATGTCTACTGGGGTGTGTGTATGTGGGGGAGGCATGGACTCTATGCCTTTGTTACGGGAAACACCTCAGGGGTAACACTTCACAGGCCCTAAGACACTCAAGACTGGGGCATGATTGGTATGTACTGAAGGTTCATCCACCAGGCCACAGGTCCTTGGCACACACCAGTCTCTCTCACACCCTCACACGTGCTCACACAAAGATATGAACATCAGAAACTCTCCAGGGCACTGAAGCCTGCAGCTCCAACATTCCTTCCTTTCCCACCGGGTCCATGTGGGAGTTTCAAAGCCTTCATGAGGCTACAGAGTCCCAGGTGTCAAATCTCAGATCATTTTTTAAGGGAAAATGCATAAGGGTGGAGGGGAAACAGGTCATAAGCTCTCCCTGGTCCTAGCTGGAGCTCAGGTCTTCCTCTCCCTAAAGACAGAACCAGTTTCAACATCTGATAACCTCTAACCTACATAAACCCCAGGAAGTTAATAAATATCCACACAGTGGAAAAGGCAGAATACCAGTTTCAGCCTAGGCCAACACCAGTAAACTCCAGAGAGGATACAGCAATTGCTATCTGAACCACTGAACTGGGACTTGTTCCACCAGCCTCTTAGACAAGTAGAAATCCACTACATATCAGCATACATGACTTTCATGTAGATGTCTTGCTTAATATTTGGCCTCATACTAGCAGAATATTGGCAAGTGTGTCGTTATCTGTGTTGTCAAATTAGACTATAAGCTCTTCTAAGGTAGTCACCAAGTATGGTGCCCAATATCCTTACATCTCCTTGCTGTAGGGATCTCAGTCTGGCGCCCTGAAAGTACTCCATGGATTGATAACATGTTGTAGAATTCCATGTACCTCAGGGTACTTGGAAAATCAACCTATCAAAAAGAATTTATTGAATAGCCACTTTCTTGCCCTTAGTGATAGAATTTGGTGGCAGCTGATGTGAAATGGATTGGTTCTTTTAAAAAATTATCAGCAAGTAAACAGAAACCATTATGGTTAAGAATAAATGACCTAGGGCTGCCCTCTAAGTGCAGAGACACATTTCAGTCATATCAAACTGTAAGAATAAATTGTATACACTTTTTCTCTGGTGCTGGGTTGCAACTTACCGATATGCTACAGGAATCACCATCACGCTCAGCCTGAATCTCTACACTTCCCAGGTGCAGGATAGAAGCAATTATCTTAAAAATGGTTATCTGATGGGACTCTCTCACTCCTGGGAGAAAAAAAATAAATAAATGAATCACAGTCAATATCCATGCTATGTTAGAAAGGACATTTTATGCCTTTTAAGGACTTTAATAAAAAAAAGAATAAGGTTTGATTTTCCTTCTGGGGCCAATGACTCCTAAAATAATCCAGGCTGCTCACCAAGTAATTACTACTCACTGTAACTGCTCAGAGGGCAAAGGGGCTTCTGTACCAGAAAAGAAAATATACTCACTCTGATTGTCCCAGTCAAACCAGATGGGTCACACTACCATTTCAACTTCTCAAAGAGCACAAGAGATGAAGCAATCATACAGGTTCATTTGAACTTCATTTCAACCAAACGCTTTATGGATGATTTTAATAAGAATGCTCACTTACCTGCAATCATTCTCCTCCAACATAATATCCTGCAAACATCTGTGACACACATCCACAGTGGGGGGAAGAAGGGGAGAAACCCTCCGGGATCACTGTCTTAGGGGCTGGGGGGCCAGCAGGGCTCTGGCCAGTCCCAGGTCGGGATGGTTGTTCTTCATGCTATACGTACCCACATAGTGACAGACACACTCTCACCAGAGCCACTGTGGTAGCAAACAGGACTACCAAATTAGTTATTACCTGTGTGAATTATCAAAACATATAAAATCCCTGAAAATTTGTTTAGCTTGAAGGTAGTGACACTTCCTTTTAAAATAAAAGATATTTCAGACTTGTAAAAAGGCTACCAAATGATATAACGAACATTAATAAACCTATCACTTCATTTAAGAAACGACACAGTTTAACTCTATATTCTTTCCAGCAATAGGCTGGCAATATTTTACTCAGCTAAAAAAAAAAAAAAAAAAAAAAAAAAC